GCTGAGGGAGCTGGGACTGTTTAGTCTGGAGAAGAGAAGGCTCAGGGGGGACCTTATCACTTTCTACAATTACCTGAAAGGAAGTTGTAGGGAGATGGGGATTGGTCTCTTCTCCCATGTTATGAATGACAGGACGAGAGGGAATGGCCTCAAGTTACGCCAGGGGAAATTTAGGTTAGATATCAGGAAAAATTTCTTTACAGAGAGGGTTGTGAAGTAGTGGAACAGGCTGCCCAGGGAGGTGGTGCAGTCCCCATCCCTGGAGATGTTTAAAAACCGTGTGGATTTGGTGTTGAGGAACATGGTTTAGGGACCCTGACAGTGCAGAGTGAATGGTTGGACTTGATGATCTTGAAGCTCTCTTCCAACCAGATGATTCTATGATTCTGTGTTTCCTCACAAGGCAATGCTTTCCTCTAAGATCTTTGTGAAAGTGTCAATGACTGGTGCTGTACCTGGAATGGAATTGTACCTGTGGTATGGTCAGATGACGGGACGGAACAGCCCAGGTTTTTTAAGCCCAGATTTTGTTTTAGGAGGGCTATGTGCTCGGTTTGCTCTACGTTGTTACCTCCTAAATTTCTAGTACCGTAGGCATATTACTCGTAGTTGTTTGCGTTACTCTTGAACGCAAGTGCAGGGTTTGGCTTCATCACAAACACTACTACTGATTCTCTAGGTCCTGGAGTCAGAAACGCTGGTGGCTGAGAAGGCACACAGGAAATGACTGTTGTATGTTTGCCCCTGTTATTGTAACTCTGTGCTGGGGGCTTGGGGTCTTGGGCCAGCAAGACTTCAGTCTGCCTGGTACAGGTAGTCTTATGTTGTTATCAGAAACACTGGAATTACTAGAAACAGAACTGTACCCGTATTTCTTTGGGAAGAAACTAGGTTAAGGATAATATTTTTTTTTTCCTCAAAGCATTTTAGGGCATAGGAACTTGATCTCATAGAAGGTATGTAAGAATGGTGCCCCCAGAGCCTTCGAGACCCTTGCCCTCCCTGGACAAAGGCAGTGGCTCAAGGCAGGAATGGTACTGCCACCTCTTGCAACTAACAGGCTCTTTCTGTTTTTGTGTATCAGGACCTCGAAGGTGCATATTGCATCACCGCTATCCATGAAGCTCTGGCACTGTCTGATATTGGGGATGAGAGGAAGATGTTCTTGATTGGTACCCACGTGGCAGAAGACGGCTCTGAGATCTCCTCCAGCATGAAGGATGCCAAGGAGCTGATAGCGCAGCTGGTTTTGGATACACAGTGACAGCTCTTTTCCTGCAATGCAATGTTTGCAGCTGAGGGAGACGAGGTGTTAGTGTATGGTTAGTGTGCCGCATGGCCACTGAAATGTACAGATATTTTTCCTTGTGAGTGTGGAATTCCTCTGAAAATGGTGTCTAGTTGGTAAGAAAAATCTATAGTGGTTTGAAAATACATTTGAAAAGTAGTCTATTTTTTAGCGTGTTTGTAGGGGAAAATTAGTCTTAGACAGCAGAGCTAAAGGGATGTATAGCTTAAAGATGAGATGGCTTCTTGCCAGGTGGGAATCAAGTGTTAACTTCAGTGGAAGAAAGTTTTATCCAGTGAATTTAACCTGGCTTGATGTCTCAGGCTTAAATTGAAATATGTTTACTTCACAGGTTATACAGAACCCTGTGAACAGTATTCTGTTAAAAATGAGACCTCACTTCTTGACAGTGTCAGAAATTTAAAGTGCTGCGACTAGTGTTTTTGACAGTGACAGTTTTTGTCGTTGCTGTATTGGAGCTGGCTTTTAAGGGAGTGGAGAATTAGTAGTCTCTGGAAATTGGGTTGATTAGTGCTTCTTTAGTGGGTAAGAAGAAGAAAATGAAAGCAGTAAGACATTCTTTCTTTGCCTAGAGGGAAAAACCAAAACAGTGTCATTCTGGGTAGAGATTGGAAGCATTTAAGTTAAATTGGCACCGAAGGTGGGAGACTCCTCCATCAGATTGAGCGGCTTGTTTCAGTTTAGTCCAGGTTGTCCTCGAGCAAGCCGTCTTACATGTGAAAAACCTGTTGTTTTTTGGAATTGATTTCTGTTAGCGCAGCAGGTGAGGAAGACGAGTTGCTGACAAGCATCCTCGTAATTATACTCCAAGAGCGCGATCCAGGAGCAGTTCTGTAAAGAACCTGTTTTGCGACCTCATTTATTCTGTGAGGGTTTTATAGTTTTGTCCTTTGGAACCGATGCATAAAGCAGAAAATTCTACCCTAACCAGTGGTCCGGGCGTCATTTACCCGCACGAGGAGCGCTGCAGGAGACCTCGAGGCCGTTGTCCTCGCAGCCACCTTTAAAACGGGCCTTTCC